CTTACAGGATGGAACTCTTAACTTGTCCTGTGATGGCTCCCTGTGGTAAGTCAGGATACACTCTCAAAAATAGTGCTTCTGAGTGCGTAAGATTTTAAAAGATGACTATAGAAAAATAATATAACTGTTTCACTGCTTATATCTGTACCAGAAGGAAATGAGCTAGTGAGGGTTAGTGGAACAGACAATGAAGAATTCTTTCAGGCTCTTAACATACTGCTCAATATGCAAGTCCTCTTGTGACACACCGTCTTCAATTCATACTGAAGTATAAAGGTTGTCTGGAGTGCCTTGGTTCTGAGTAGAAAGGCCAAAGGTAATTTTGGAACAGAACTTGAGCATACCAAATCCTCTCAAAAGAGAAGAGAGAGACAAGAGTGGGGGGGGGAGGAAGGGGAGCACTGAAGGAAGGAAAACATCCCATTAGCAAGTCAAACTTTCCCCACATCACAATTAAGCCCACTGGGTCACACAGAACTGCATGTTCAGTGTTCCCTGCCTCCCAGAAGTCTGACCCCATACTCTCTGGAATTGATGAGCAGATTTGGCCCTTTACGTTCTCTGAGGCTTCCCTGATTGCTTATTAAAAGTAAGCATCCTGTTCGAGTGAATTGATTTACTTCACTCCAGTCCTTGAAGGATGCTACAGATCAAAAGGTGTCTGGAAAAGCACTCTTAAGGATGCTGACACTACTCCCAATTACTGACAAGCATGTGTGCCAGGCCCTGTTCCAGGAGTCCAGGCCCTGCTCCGTAGGGGAGCGCCGGCTTATAGAGGAAAATCAATGTGAAGGATGCATACAGGAAGGCAATGAATTTAGGTCAGTGCTATTGGTTCTTTGTCTTTAGGGATATGTGAAATAGTCTAGTCACTCTCCTTTCAAAACAGGAATACACAGAGTCTAAAACGCTACTCGATAAATATAACAAAAGATGGAAAAGCATCAGTTCCACAGAGGTGAAGAGAAAAATGAGGTCAATAGAAAATAAGTGAGTCAGAAGAGATAAGATAAGCACATGTAAGCACAAACACACTGAGCATAAGACTCAGAGGGAAAAGTAAAGAAGGCAGGATAGAGGGGGAAATCGCGATACTTACCAAGCCTTTCAAAGTGGAACACAGCTCCCTTAAGGAAAATAAACCACTCAAAGGGCTGGCCTGGGGATTTAACTCAGTGATAGAGCACTTGCCTATCATGCAAGAGGTCCAAGATTTGATACCCTAATGAGAAGAGGGGAAAAAAAGAACTATGGGGGGAAGGAGAGAGAAAGAGAGAGAAGAGAGAAGAAATGAAGGCAGGCAAGCCAACTAATACATAAAAAGCTTGGATAAACCTTGCAGTGTGTTATTCTGAAAATAATCTAATTTCTATCTGCATTCATCAAACTTCACTTACCAGAGACTAAGATCTACTTTTGTAGAAGACATGTAGCCTTGGGACCCACTGACACCTAAAGGCATTTCAAGTTCTGTTGCATTTTTACATCCATAGATACAAATGAGACTACATTGTAGCATTTCCCTGCCTGCCGATAAGCAAAGGTAAGACCTGGAGCCCAACTGGCAGGTAGACTTAGCAGTTACTACTGCGCTTCAAGATATAGGCCAACTCTGAGAATACCAGTAAGGACCATAGGATCTAGTGAACAACAAGCAAAGGCTTCTCTCTGTGCCTTTCTCCACAGCCACCATCAAGGGTCCATTTGGGGTCTGTTTCTAGAACATTATTGAGGTGCTGCTGACTGCAGCACCTCTACACACCTTTGTATTCCTACTCAGCAGCGTCAGCGAGCTGTGAACAGAGCGATGCAGATGAGTGGTTTGCATGAAACTTAGTTTTTCAGGATACATTTACTCTAGATGCCTAATCCAGCCTGATTATCAAGAGAAGAACTCATAAGCAAGAAAGAAAAACACAAGCAGCCTCAGATTTAGGCTATATTCAAGCATCTTAATAATGATGTAAGGCAGAGAGTGTAGGCCCACAGATCAAAAGTGTACCAGGGGCCTGCTAAGGCCTGGCTCACTGAGTAGCAGAATTTCCCATCAAGTGGGAAGCTCTCAGTTCAAACTCTGGTACCAACACCAAAAAAAAAAAAAGTGTACAAAACCTGGTATGGTAATGCATGACTATAATCCCAGAACTCGGGAAGCTAAGGCAGGAGGATCTTAAATTCCAGATTAGTTTGGCCAAACCAGTCCTTTTTTTCTCTCTCTCTCTCTCATCCAAACAAAACAAAGCAAAAAGAACAAAGGTCTTTATAGAGCAATATGGAAAGATATTTGATAAAGTGAAACAATAGCAAATAGTGGTGCAAGCATTATGTATAGTATGCTGCTTCAATGTAAGAAAGGGATAGAAATTAGAATATATGTGTAGATTTACATGAATTTGCATAAAGCAGCACTGAAGGAATGTTTGAAAAGTAGTTACAAGGCAGCACACAATGAAGCAGATGGAGACCAGAAGGAGACAGGTGTGAAGTATATTTTTCACTAGGTACGTTTTGGTTGTTTTATTTTTTCATACTCTAAATAATAAAATAATAATATAGAACTCTGTGGAGAAAAAAGACACCTTTACCTTTTTCATTATATAGCTTATTGCTAAAAATAATACTAAAATTAAAAACCTGGAGTAGCCATCATAGAGCTGAGTTGAACTCTGAAAAGCCAACCATTAATCCAATCCCTGCCCTGACTCAATAATTGCTGCTAGTTGAGGCCCCTTGTTCTTCCAGAACCCACCTTGTGTCCGGTGGAGTCACCCCCCCCTTCCCCCCCCCCCCCCCCCCGCCGCTTAATTGTTATCCACTCATTGTTCAGGGCCAGACTAAGCTCAGACTAAGCCACACAAGTGGCTGCCACTCAGCCATGTCTTTGGAATGAGTTGTGAGCTTCCTATTCTCTGCCTGCTGACATTTGATCTGCTGAGCTTGGTGCAGACTCTGTCCAAGTACCAGGTCTTTCTCAGGTGCTCAAACAGCCCATTTCGGCTCCACTCATTAAAAACTACCACAATGGTGGCTGCTTCACGGGTTTAGATGTGAGCTGGATTCTGAGAATTAGGCTCATTTCCTGCTCTTCTGGCCTTGGTCTCCATCGATCATGCATACTCTCCATGGTAACACACTTCCCCCGCCCCTTCTGGAGAACCCTCAAATCTCTTCACTTAAAACTATTCAAAGGACAATCCCTCCACATCAATCAATGAAAAGGCACTCATTAAAAACCTTTCCTGAAGTTAGAACATCTCTCACAAGGAGATATTAAAGGCAAACATTCAAAGTTGTGTTTCCCTGGGATGCGTGCTAAATGAGGTGAACTGTTTAGCTTGAAGTAAAAGGGCACTACACACTCACCCAGAACATGAAAGGTCAGATTGCTACCCTTCTGTGAGCCCTTAGAGCATGAGAGATGAAGGGTGTGGTTTATCAGGGCAGGTCACACACCCCAAATTGTTCTCTGTGATTTGCAGCCATACTCCGTGAGCTCTGACTAGGGGAACATTTGCTATACTAGTTAGAAGACAGAACATTGGAAGTACTTAAAATACAATTTTCAAAGTCATAATGGTTTTCAATAGGCTGAAGAGAGAAGGTTTTCTCGGCTGAAAAAGGGGGAAGAAAAGGAAGGGATGCTTCCTAAGAAATAAAAGATTATGGGGTGAGCATGAATGCTTAGGTTTCTATTTGTTGGCTGATTTTTGCCAGTTAAATTCCATTTATTCCTTGCCTTCATCCCCAGCCCTATTTTTTTGTTTCTATTAGTATCTATTAATTGTATAAGAGGGGGTTCATTGTGACAACTCCATGGGTGCATACAAAGTACCATGATCAAACTCACCCCTCTGTCACTCTCCCGCATCTCTCCTCTCCCCTTCTTAAAACAATTTCAACAGGTTTCATTGTTCTAATTACATACATGCATATGAAGTACTTCAACCATGCAGTGGTAAGTAATCAGCAAAGGGAGCCCAGCAAAGCCAATTCAGGGTCATGTTGTACCATACAATGTAAAGCATTGCCCAACTCAATGCAGAAACTCCCATTTGTGAGAGAGTTAAGGAATCAACAAAGTCAATCTGACATCAAGGATGTCACACTTGTGACCGCTGAGTCTTAGACTTATAAAAATGAAATTATTTCCTAAGCTCAATTCTACTTGACATGAAAAAGAATATGATAGCTTAAGAAATGATGAAGGCAAGCTGGGCACCGGTGGCTCAAGCCTGTAATCCTAGCTACTCAGGAGGCTGAGATCTGAGGATCACGGCTCAAAGCCAGCCCAGGCAGAAAAGACCTTGAGACTTTTACCTCCAATAAACCACTAGAAAACCGGAAGTGGTGCTGTGGCTCAAGCGATAGAGCACTCGCCTTGAGCTAAAGAGTGCAGGGACAGCGCCCAGGCCCAGAGTTCAAGCCCCATCATTGACAAAAAGAAAAAGAAAAAAGAAATGATGAAGGCTTTTTTTTCTCCTTTGTTAAATTCAAGGCCTCATACTTGCTAAGTACCACTCTACCACTGAGCTATATCCTCAACCCCCTTAAATGAAGGTTCTTGATTCCAGGATCTCAGTTTTATGAAAGAATGTTTGACTAGAAAGATATTTTTATTGTCTTACTAATTATAAAGCTGTCTACTCTGACCATGAACAATTATATAGACACAGTCAATTCATAGGGACCTGTGTCTGCTTAAGGGCAACTACAAAAAACACCATACACCATAGTCTATAGTTATCTGCTCTGTGTATCTAGTCCTGGCTCCTCACTCCAGCATGAAGGGGTCTGAATGAGCTGGCAAGAAGGAGAACCAAAAGTTAGTTGTAGTATTCAGATCCGTAGTACCCAATGCAGCCTCAAAACCACAAGCTTACCTGGGCAAACCACCTTTGGAATTTAGGTTAGTCAAGTCTAACATCATAATCTGATGTTGCTCATGACACATTCTGGCCTGCCCTCTCCCAAAACAAATAGGACTCACCCCAGTTACTCACCGAGACCACCCTGACGGATGTCTGTACGTGTGGCTCCACCAATGATAAACTGAGGGTTTGGACACAATTCCTGAAAGTAATTTAAGACAAAACACAAGTCATGAGATGCCCCAGTGATGACAGAGGCTGTCTGGGTAAAGGAATATCAGAGTTACAGAATTCAGAGCTGGAAAAAAAAAAACCCTAGAAGGTAAGCTTATCACAAAAGCATTTTATTACAGAGTCACTAATGTGGGTCTCTTAAGCCTAGAGACCTGGCCAGAATCACACAACTAGGACTTCCCAGAGCCCAGAGCCCCTTCTTGACTAATATTTTTATTACTCTGTGGGTGTGAAAAGGTGGTAGGGTGTGGGGGAGGTAGGAGAAAGGCAAAAGCTGAGATAATAATCCAATGAAATATGATCCAGACAACACCCCTATTTATACAGAGAGATGATTAGAGTAATGTTTGGCAAAATGCTATGCACCCTGTGGACACTCATTAAATACTTGATTAAGGGATAATGACCCCATGGCTGATGGGATCATGGAGGTGTCAGGAAGCAGAGAACTCAACTCTGAGAGGCACATGTCTGACCTGCACTTCCTCCACTCACTTGCCTCCAACTGGGCATCTACCCACAGGTAAGGTCACACCCCAGACTCTGTGCTGGAAGAAGAAGATGCTTGAGAGAGAGAGAGAGAGAGAAACTGAGAGTGTGTTACTGGGATTTGAACTCAGGGATTTATACTTGCTAGGCAAGTGCTTTACCAGTTGAGCCATGCCCAGCCCTTACCTCTTTTTTTCTTTGTCTAGTCAACAAGGGTTTATTGAGTCTCCATTCCACACCTGGTACTGCTTACACCTTAGCAGTCAGGGAAGAGAGGAACACAACAACAACAAAAAAAAAAAAACAGAAAGAAAGGTGGGAAAGAGGGAAAAAGGAGAAGAGGTGGGAAAGGATGGAGGGAAGGAAGGAGAGGGGGAGAGAGGGAGGAAAGAAAAAAAGAAGAAAGGTAGGAAGGAAGGAAGGAAGGAAGGAAGGAAGGGAAGGAAGGGGAGGGAGGGAGGGAAGGAGGAGAGGAAGAGAGCAAGGGAAGGAAGGAAGGAGAGAGAGAGAAAGAGAGAGGGGGAAGGGAGAGAAATTCTCTGGAATTTCCAGTTCAACTACTGGTTACCATCACCAGCAGGTGCTGGTAAGGGATATTTGTGGAGCTTCAGCTACTCAGGGAGAAACAAGTGAACATACACAGAGAAGTTTAGAGCTCCTGTTCTTTCTTCATCCTTTCCGTAACTTCCCAATAATTCAACCCTTCCATGTGTCTCTCATCTTGAGTCTTTATTATGCATCGGGCATGGCCTCACTCCTATCTCTCTGTATTCCTCCTGAGGATCCATACCCTACTTAATTGGGGAAAAAAAAAGAAAAGTACACTCTAGACAGAGAAGCATATCACTGAGGAGGCTGCATCAGGCCCTCTAGCATGTTCCTCACATCTTCAGAACTGGGCAAGGTATTGACCCAGCATAATGGGGGGGGGGGAGCAAGGGAAGCTGAGTTGCAGGAATGCAGCTCTTGGCCAACACAAGTGGACAAATACTGTCCTGTGATTTCAAATCACAAATAAAACTCATCTTGAGAACCCAGGTTTGACCCCAAGACCTTCACTGGGAAAACTTGTCTTCCAAATGTTAGCACAGGTCAACCTTTTCATTTAGCAGCTTGAAGAATAAGTAGTTACAGTTGTACCACTCCTGGGTTAAATATCCAAGAGGATGAAAGCCAGTTTTAATTGAGATACTGTGCACTCACGGTTAGCACATACTATTTATAATAGCAAAGTTATGGAATCAGCCTAAACACCAATCAATGGATGGATGAAGAAAAACGTGGCATATATGCACAGTGGCATCCTACGCAGCCATAAAGAATGAAATTCTGTCTTTTGCAAGAAAATGTAAGATTAAATAAGCCAGATTCAGAACAATGATAGCATGTTTTCTCTCTTATATGGAATCTGGCGCGGGCGGGGAGGCGGGGGGATCGGAGAACCATTAGAGTACAGAAGAGGAAAAGGAGATGGGGGAAATAAGAAAGAACAGTATTATGAATGTATAGAAATTTCTATAGTTAATATAGACTAATGAGCTGGACACTGGTGGCTCACACCTGTCATCCTAGCTACTCAGGAAGCTGAGATCTAAGGATCACAGTTCAAAGCCGTCCTGAGAGGGAAAGTCTGTGAGTTTCTTATCTCCAATAAACCACTAGAAAACGGAAATGGCGCTGTGGCTCAAGTGGTAGAGCGCTCGCCTTGAGCTGAAGAGCTGAGGGAGAGCACCCACATCCAGAGTTCAAGCCCCATAACCAACAACAACAGAGAGAGAGAGAGACTATTGAAAAATAATCAGAGTGGCAGGTGCCCATGGCTCATACCTGAAATCATAGTTACTCAGGAGGCTAAGATCTGAGGATCATAGTTTGAAGCCAGCCTCAGGCAGAAAAGTCCATGAGACTCTTATCTCCAATTAACCATCAAAAAGCTGGAAGTAGAGCTGTGGTTCAAGTGGTGGAGTACCAGTCTTAAGTGAAAAAGCTAAGGACAGTATTTAGGCTCTAACTTTATATCTCAGAATATATTCTCTCTCTCTCTCTCTCTCTCTCTCTCTCTGTCTCACACATACACACACACACACACACACACACACACACACAGTTAAGTCAAAATGGTAAATTTCTTGTTTTCTATATTTTACCATAATTTTTGTAAATATATACATACAAACCATGAGAGAACTTGTAGTGCCCTGCCCTCCCCCATCTGTTTACAGGGCCTTTAGAGGCTTCTTGGTGAGAAAAGTCAAAATTAGGAATAGGCTCATTTTCTCAGGATCTGAGGCACATTCTCCAGTAGAGATAGAACCAGAATGCTTACTGACTCAGGAGTCTATTTAACGATCTACAAGACTGCAGGGGACAAGGCTGTGTCCTCTGGTGAATCTTTGTGAAACGCCAGTGTGAGTATCGCTGCAAGCAACCCTGAGATCACAGGGCATGGAGAGGTTACGTTTTGACACAGATTTATTTAACAGGCATTCGAAAACTCCAACAAGGAGTCTTTCAGGTCCATGTTAATCAGCTTCCATGCCTTAACCTCTGAATTTTATCACCCCTGTTGACAGGCACAAATCAGCCCATACTCTAAAATTACCTGTGTAGGCAGTAAGACCATGTAAAGGCAGGGGTGAGGGAAAAGGAGCAATGTGGTGAGGTTATAAGCTCTACAAATGTCAAAGGAAGTAGAGAAACTAGCCAAACGTTAACTGATACCTAAATTAGATCATGCAATGACCCACCGGCCTTGATGAAACATGGACGTTCCATGACCTTAGGAAATCGTGTACCTTTCAGCAAAGATGTTAGCATAGCTTACCCAGGGCTGACGCTGCCTAGCATTGATTTGTTGCCACATATAATTGCCTGGCCCTATGCAATGATAACTACCATGTATTCTGTGCTCCTGCCATGCTGGCCATTATACCCTGGGATTTATCTCTAGTTCTCATGCTAACTGAGAAATACTAGCAGTACCACTTTCCAGATGAGAAAATTGAGGCTCACTGAGATTAAGCTATCACCTAAAGCCACTGTATCAGAACCAGTATTCATGTTAAACTTGCCCCATTCCAAAGCTTTGCATGCTCTTTGTCTAAAAATAGAAAAACAGTCTGAAATATAGGATCCAAAAATATAATCTACCACCAAGATTCCTTCAACTTCTTCCTTCACTTGATAACTCTCCATCCTGTGTGACACCCAGCCATAAGCCCACCTCCTTACCGTGGGTCGCTTCCAGACGATGCCTTGAGTTTGTGGGGAGCCTGGGCCAAGATCCTTGTAGCCCAAGGCTGATGGACACGCAGGGAATTCTGGGTCTTTAAATAGGACCCCTGAGTCCAAGCACTGTTTCTTCAATGCTTCAAAATCCTGGCTCAAGTATTTCACAGCTTTCTGGTGGGTGCCAAGGCCTTCAGCAGCTGCGCGCTGCTTCAATGCTCTAGCTGCCAGGGCTGCCATAGTAGCTGTGGGCTCTGTGGGGTGGCTAGGAAGGCAGGACCGCTCTGAACTTTGACACTTGTCCCACTGGGAGAGGAGCTAAGAGGTAGCATGAGGCAGGTGGAACAGGTAAACATTTCACCGGAGGCCTTCTTCCAGAGGAAAGTGAGTCATTGCCAGGACCACATATGTACTCAAGGAGCAAATGAGTTTGCCACACCTTCTCCTGCTGCTTTTCACGCTCTGGATCCTGGGAACCTTAGCCTAAGAAATCCATTAGGACCTAGGTCATGCCCTGGCTCTTCAAGGCCTGCTCAGGCTGCATTGGCTGAGTTGAGATAGTTTGTTGAGGCTAAAATTCACCAAGGAACTAGAGAAATAGTCATGAGCAAAAGGAGGCCCAGTGGCTAGAGAAGTCTCTTTTCCTGCTAGAAAGCTTGAGCTCCATATTTTCTAGAAGGGCAAAAAACATCAGAGAAGAGTGATTCATGAAGTTGATTCTTAGTAAGCTCAATTAGAGGTTGTTCTACTCATGAATGGAGATTAGGCCTCTGACTGAGTTTCCATCCTGGCTCCACCAGTAATTAGCTCTGCCACCTTGAACAAGTTCTTTAACCTCTTTTCTCCCCTCTTAATTTCCTCATCTGTAAAATGGCAGATAATCAGAGAACTGACCTCATGTGGTCATTTGGAAGAATGATGAGGTCGTAGATGGAATTTGCATAGAACCGTCCAACAAAAGTTTTCAGTAGATGTCAGACAGCATTATTCCTCAGAGCCAGGGGGCAAAAAAAAACAAAACAATAATAGCCTGGGAGTCAGGAGTCTTGGTTCTTGTTTCAGAAGCGAATTTCAGGCTATGTGATCTTAGATGAGAGATATGTCTCTGGGTTCCAATTTCCTATGCTTGTCTACCCTAAGAATGTGGGTGGGTTAATGATTTGAACATTGGTAGGTGTGGTCTCTGGAAAATGAATCCCCAAAAATACCAAGTACTAATCTTTAGAACTTGTAAATATTACCTTATTTGAAAAAAATGACTATTTGATGATATAATTAAATGAAGGATCTTTTTTAAAATATGTTTTTATTGTAGAAATACTGTACAGAAGGGTTACAGTTACATGAGTAAGGTAATGAGTACATTTCCCATCGAGCATTGTTGCCTCCTCCTTTGTTTTTCCCCTACAATCCCTAACCTCCCCACCTCCCCACCTCCTCCCTCCCCCCTCCACCAAGTTGTAAAGTTTGTTTTCAACATAGTGTCTTGTACATCTCATTGTTACAATGTGTCAACCTGTATCCTTATTTCAGCATTTTGTTACTTCCCTTCCCCTCCCCAAATTAGAAAAATGTATATACAAGATGCAGGACACCAGAATCAAATACAGTGAAAACAGGGGTTATACCATGGAGGGAAGAACATACAGAAGAAACAAAAAAAACACATAGTACATTTTAAATACATTAAAAACAGTAGTAAGAAAGAAAAAACCAGTTGTGTCCCTATCTTGGGTTCATTTCACTTAACATCATCTTATATGGTCATATGTATATAGCTTTTGACCTTTTCTGCTTGTCCTAGGCTTATTTAGTTATTGCAAATAAGGGAAACCATGGAAGTGAAGGACCTCTACAATGAAAACTTTAAAAACCTAAAAAAAAAAAGAAATTAAAGCAGAACTTAGGAAGTGGAAAAACTTCCCATGCTCCTGGATTGGAAGAATTAACATCATGAAAATGGCAATATTTCCAAAGGCTATCTACAAATTCAATGTGATACCTATCAATATTCCAACCTCATTCTTCAAAGAAATAGAAGAAGCAATCCAAAAATTCATATGGAACAATAAAAGACCCCGAATAGCAAAAACAATCCTTAGCAGAAAGAACAGTGCTGGAGAAATATCAATACCAAATTTCAAACTATACTACAAAGCCATAGTAATCAAAACACCTCAGTACTGGCACAAGAACAGATCTGAGGACCAATGGAATAGAACTGAAGACCCAGAAATGAACCCACCTAAAAAGCCACCTAATCTTCTATAAAGGAGCTAAAGGAGCTAAAAAAAAAATAGAATGGAAGAAAGACAGCCTCTTCAGTAAATGGTGCTGGCAAAATTGATTTAACGCCTGTAGAAAACTAAAGCTAGATCCTTATATATCACCCTGTACCAGAATCAACTCCAAATGGATCAAAGACTTCAAAGTCAAAGCAGACACCCTGAAAACATTACAGGATGAACTAAGAGAAACTATAGGGCTCTTTGGCAAAGGCCGAAATTTTCTTAATAAATACCCAGAAACACAACAAATCAAAGAAAGTTTGGACAAGTGGGATTGCATGAAACTGCAGAGTTTCTACATGGCAAAGGACATAGCTAGCGAGATCAATAGAAAGCCTACAGACTGGTAGATCTTTACTAGCCATACAACAGACAAGGGTCTCATATCTAAAATATACTTAGAACTCAAAAAACTAAATCCTCCTACAACAAATCCTCAAAGAAACAACTGCCCGATAAATAAGTGGGCTAAAGACTTAAAGAGAAACTTCTCTGAAGAGGAAATAAGAATGGCCAATAGACACATGAAGAAATGCTTAACTTCTCTATCCATAAAAGAAATGCAAATCAAAACAACAGTGAGATTCTACCTCACCCCAGTTAGAATGGCTATAATCAAGAAACCTAATAACAGCAGATGCTGGAGGGGATGTGGACAGAAGGGAACCCTACTGCATTGTTGATGGGTGTGTAAACTTGTTCAGCCACTTCGGAAAGCAGTATACAGGTTCCTCAAAAGACTTCACATAGAGCTCCCCTATGACCCAGCAATCCCACTTCTGGGCATTTACCCAAACAATCACAGACAAGGCCATACTAAAGCTACCAGCACAACTATGTTTATCGCAGCATTATTTACCATAGCTAAGATGCCCCTCAGTAGATGAATGGATCAAGAAAATGTGTGTATATATACAATGAAATACTACACCTCCATCAGAAAGAATGCTATCACCCCATTTGTTAGGAAATGGAAAGACTTGGAAAAAATTATATAAAGTGAAGTAAGCCAGGCTCAAAGAAACATAGGTCCCATGGTTCTCCTTATTTGTAAATGAAGGATCTTGACATGGGGAGATTATCCTGGCCCTAAGAAGAAGGCGGAAGAGACCTGGTGTTAGTGGCTCACACCTGTAAATCCCAGCTGAGATCTGAGGATCTCATTTCAGAGTTAGCCCAGGCAGACAAATCCAAGAAACTCTTCTTTCCAATTGACCAAGAGAAAGCTAGAACTAGAAGTGTGGCTCAAGTGGTTGAGCTCCAGCCAGGGTATTAAAAACCTAAATGAGAGCACGAGGCCTAGAGATCAAACCCCACACAAGCACAAGGTCATTCCTCCATAGTGAGAGGAATGCCCACAGCCACCAAGAGCTAAAGGCACAAGGCCTCTATTCTTCCTCTTGTATCTCTGAAGGAAGAGAAGCCCTGCCTGGGCCTTAGTGTCAGCCCAATAGAACTGATTTGGGACTTCAAGCTCTTAGACTAGGAAGAGCATATATTTCTTTTCTTTTCTAGGTCCCAGACTGGGACTCAAACTCGGTATCTGTGACTTTATTCATTGGCCAGCATTCTATCCACTGAACCACACCTCCAACCCCTATTTCTGCTGTTTTAAGCCGCCATATTTGTTACAGCAACCACACAGTTTGCATAAAGCAGTTTACATAATAGTCCCCTCCCCCAAGCACTTGCTTAAAACGTTGACTCCTTACTAGATCCAACTACTGCTCTCATCCCCAAAACACAGATTTCCAGTCCTATAGATCTGCGATGAAAGCCTGGAACCCCATAGAAGATTCTTTAAAAAGACCACACACTAGAGGTCATAGACCAACTGACTTCCAAGGCCTAAACCAGTAGTAATCTGTGTGCTCCACACTTAGCTCAGTGGTGGGTCTGGGCCAGCAGAAAACAGGGTCTTCTCCCCAGGTACAAGAGGGGAAAATGTAGTTACCTAAATTTCATCAAAAAGAAAAGGTCAGAATGACCTTCGGAGGCTCAAGCTAGTATCTGAAGGGCTTGGTCTAGCCCCTACCCCCTTGGAGATTTCTCTTTACTCCCTCAATGTCCCTTTTCCCTCACTAAGTCCCTTCCCTTTGTGCACCCTCCCATAGCAGCCCTCAGCACCCTCCCTGCACTGACCCCTGAGATCAGTGAGCTAACACCCCTCTATTACATCAGGCTCTGAATTCTGTAAGTTCACATTTGTTCTGCTCATCATCTGGATCCTAGAAAGCTCCTAGAACACAGTAGGGCCTCAGTAAATGTGAAAAAGGAAGGAACACCTGTCCATCAAAGATGTCCAGTGGCTGGACATAATTCAATCAGATATCATTGTCCTTACACCCCTACGGAGTCATTATTTCATCACTAAGGACCTTATGGGATTGTTTTCCCTGACTGTTTCTTCAAGATGCCTCCCCAAAACATTCCCTCTAGGCTCAAATAAGAAAAACAAACAAACGAACAAAAAAAAAAAAAACAAGAATGAGTCCTTCCTCCTCCAATTGCAGCCTAAGTGCAGCTGATAATTTTCCCTTCTCCACCAGGGAATTCCTCTGGGATTAGCAATCTCCTTTCTTCCAAACCCCACCTTCCTAAATTGTCTACCTTCTGCATCCAGATGCTTTGCAAACCAGCCCTTCCTCATCTAGCAGGCAGGTCTGAGCTGCTGCAAATAGAGACCTCATTTGCCCAGTCACAGAAGAACAGTGAATGGAAGAGGGAGGCCTCTGCTCACCGTCCCCTTGTGAGCAGCCAGCCAGCATCTACCTGTTATCAGCCGGCCATCTGGGAGGAAGCAGGCTGACACCCCCGCCGCCCCCCACTGTCTATCCACCTGGCCAGATTTCTCTCCTGCCTCATGCTGTAGACACCTACAAGAGCCAGCAGCAGCTCCCTGCCAGGAAGCCTCAGGATCCATTACAGAGGTGACAGGGCCATGCAGACCCA